AGGGTTTTTAAAATATAAAATTAAATGTAAAATTTCTTCAGAGCATAATCAAAAACGGGCTGCTTTTTCCAAAGTGTTTTCCAAAATGTGTGCACAGTGTAGCCTGCTGCAAATTTTGTCAGTCATTCTCACAAATTCTGGGCTTTCCCAAATCTCACAGAAATAGGGAAACTCTATATGATCAATGGTCATACAATTCTGCAATTAAAAATTAGGAAAACCATTGAAACATAAACTCACTATCAAAATGAATCTCCACTGGAAATTTCGCAAATTGGTGAATGGATGGTTTCTTTAAACCCTTTTTCTACTTTTTTCAAGATCTTGACTTCACTTGGTTTACTGAGACATGGTACTGCACAGAACTTGCAAGTGTGTGAATCTTGATGCAAATATTTTGAGACTATCAACTTGTGTGAAATTTGAGAAAATACAAACAACATTACAATTGGGCCTTCAATAACCTCAGTGTTACAGTCCAACCAAAATAACCTTTTTCATTTTTGAGACTTCAACTTTCAAATTTACTAATTCCTGACATAGGCAGACTTGTTCTTTTTCAAAGCTTCTGGAACTCCTTCTGATGGTAAAAAAATCAGATTCTGTGGGGTTTTCCCTGATACATTTTTGGTCGGTATCTTGAAGTTTAAAAACTTGTATTCAATTTTTTGGGCATAATCATCAATGAAATATGTTTTCATTGAAGCTATGGGAAAATGTGGTCTGATGTACATTACTGATGCTCCAACATAGAGACAAGGATTAAGCACCAATTATGTCATTATTGTATGGTGGCCCAACATGCATGCAAAATTAGGTTTTATTTGTGCAGGTGTAGGATGTTCATTCCACTAGCTCTTCAAAAATTTGATATTTTATAAATGCTCTCATTAAAGATTGTTACAAATGGTATTATACGTTCAGCAGATGTTGTACATTGTGCAAATCTGCAAAAGCCAGTTTTGGGGAGCTTATTGTCACTAGCCCCTTTTGTGGTGACCAAAAAGCTTGTACATTCTATTGTTTATAATCTATCATTCATAAATCTGTTGCTTGAAACTTTGTTCTTGAAGATGTCTGTCCCCAATATTAACCAGAAAAAGTTGTCTTGTTACTGATATGAGACAAACATAAACATTGAATCCAGACTCTGAATTACCCAATACTGCTTTGCAACAGAGTTTCCATTAAATCCCAGGAAGGTAATGCACAAAGTTTATGTCTTGACTTGTGACCTCTTTCTGTCATGTACTTGCACATGGCCAGAACCAGCCCCCAAACCTAGCAATATAAAAACCCCTGCTCTTGCTTCCCAAGATCAGTTGATCACCAGCAGGAGTCAGAGTTCCCTTCAGGCTTCCCTCCAGACACATTGTCTTGATTTTGTGAGTTGTCAAAGATTGCTCAAATAGGGAAGAAATTGGGTGAAAAGTCTGTCTATTCTTGTAAGGTCTTGCATAAATTGGCAACACTCCTGAATGATCAAGGGGTTAAAGTCCTCTGAGAGTAAAAGACACTCTGAAGGTTCCCTTAGTTCTATTATTGTTGTTGTCTTAATTTTAAATATAAAAAATAGGATAAAAAGATGGTGCAGTATTAATGTGAAGATTTGTAGGAAGTTCTGAAAAGATAAATCTGATTGGATTTTGAACTTCTCAAGACAAATTCTTCACCAGCACCCGAGCTCACAGCCTGCTGGTCACGGACTGAACGGTAAAAGCAATCTGTTCCACACGAAGTTTATTTTTTTTTCGGCAATGGCAAAAATCTTTCATCCCCTGGAAGAAAAATAAAGGAAGAAGTGCTTTTCAATGCCTATTTGGAAGGAAAATGAATTGATCGAAATGGGTCGATGGATGGCGAATATAAAAGAAGACTCCGGCGAGAGATGGACGTAGTCTGTGCGGTCGCTCTTATACACATACGACACGCTTGCCTAGTGATGGACAGCAGTAAGAAAAGTAGTCCTCGACGGAAGTGACGCAGTGATTTTTGGTTTTTCATCAAGATGAGGTTCCCATCGTCGGAAGTCAATGGGAAAGCCCTGTCATTACTGACGAAGCTGTCAACGCTGTCTTTTCACGCTTTCGCTGTTCAGCCGTCAGGTCAGCGCAAATGGATTTCCTCCAGGTATTTCTTCTCCTCTGGGAAGGGGCATTTTTCAACAATTTTCTCAGAAACGCATGCCGCCCGGAAGCTTTTTAAAAGCGTGTTCATTTCGAGGTGGAAAAAAATGATAGAAAATTGGATTGAGAGCAAAATGTCAAAGATCATTTATTTATATAATTAAACATTCATGCAGGAGTGTTTCGTAGAAGTTCGTCACCAACCTCTTTTTTTTCTCTTCTGTATACACCAACCTCTTATCCTATTTTTTTTCATGCCCGACGCCCGCTACTCAGAAATCTCATCTGCTAAACTATAGATGTCGCCTAAATCTCGAATTTCTTCCGTTCTGAAATAGATTTGCTTTATGATGGTATCTTGTGTTCGGTGAATAAGTAAGGATGAGAGTGAATTACCCTCCGTCAGATTCTTGACTGCATGCCGTATCTGGTAAATGTTTCACAATATATTTTGAAGTGAAATGACTCAAAGTAGGCATTAACGTTCGTGTCAAGAATGAAGCACTTCAGAGGGCATGGCTGAACAGAAAGTGGAGGGAATGTACGTTTTTATTCTGAAAATGAAGGTGCAGGTTGTAGTTCTTACCTTTCAGTCCGGTATCTTTTTGATGTAAATGGAACAAAACTTAGTTAAAGAATCTAAAACTTCAAATTCCTAGTCCTGAGAGCAGATTTTTTAAAAGTACTGCTGTATTTTTGCTGAAAATCAAGCAATAGTGAATGTGACAGGAAATACAGGCTATACTTCATTTTCTGAAGCCTTTTATTTAGTCAATGTAATATGTGCTGTAAAGTCTGGTGGAAATGGCACACATTTTGTAAAAGAAAACATTTTGTAAAATATTCTGCACTCGTAAAATATAGTACGTAAAATATTCATAAAATACATTGAAGTGAGTTTTAAATGCCGGATAAAAAATAGACCTTCATAGGCTCAAACTATACTGATTCAGTATTCAATGCAGTATATCTGAGATCTCATCGCGCTAAATGAAATTTTTTTCGATCGTATTTTTTTCTATCATTTAATCTCGCAGGAAAAGAAGTGAGGCAAATTATTCAAGAGACAGACACAATTTAAAAAACTTTTATTTCTTCAAATAGACGCAAAATCGAAACAGTTTGGATTTTATCGCCAATGAATTGTTCCTGATAATCGTCAGCATACTCGCGGATAAGTTGGAAAATAAAATTTTCGAAAGACTTAGTACTAGTGAAACATGCCTCAGAGCTGACAAGTTTTGATCCACTGTCGCTAATTCAACCGTGCATCATACGAGGAGACACTGCGAAAGTCAGACAAATGAAGGTGCAGGTTGTAGTTCTTACCTTTCAGTCCGGTATCTTTTTGATGTAAATGGAACAAAACTTAGTTAAAGAATCTAAAACTTCAAATTCCTAGTCCTGAGAGCAGATTTTTTAAAAGTACCGCTGTATTCCTGCTGAAAATCAAGCAATAGTCAATGTGACAGGAAATACAGGCTATACTTCATTTTCTGAAGCCTTTTATTTAGTCAATGTAATATGTGCTGTAAAGTCTGGTGGAAATGGCACACATTTTGTAAAAGAACACATTTCGTAAAATATTCTGCACTTGTAAAATATACTACGTAAAATATTCGTAAAATACATTAAAGTGAGTTTTAAATCCCGGATAAAAAATAGACGTTCAGAGGCTCAAACTATACTGATTCAGTATTCAATGCAGTATATCTGAGATCTCATCGCACTAAATGAAATTTTTTTCGATCGTGTTTTTTTATCATTTAATCTCACAGGAAAAGAAGTGAGGCAAATTATTCAAGAGACAGACAGAATTAAAAAAAACTTTTATTTCTTCAAATAGACGCAAAATCGAGACAGGTTGCATTTTATCACCAATGAATTGTTCCTGATAATCGTCAGCATACTCGCGAATAAGTTGGAAAATAAAATTTTCGAAAGACTTAGTACTAGTGAAACATGCCTCAGAGCTGACAAGTTTTGATCCACTGTCGCTAATTCAACCGTGCATCATACGAGGAGACACTGCGAAAGTCAGACAACTCGCACAAAATCCTGTTACTCAAACCTTGCCAAAAGAGCACATGGCAACCAGATGTGATTCATCAATATTCAAAAATATCGGTGAGAGGGGTGCAAAACAACAATCAAAAACCTCAGCAAATCTGGAGCAATAAATAAATAATTTACACTTATACAGTATTGGAAAATTCTCAAAAATGGCACATTGAAAGCTATGCCAAAAAACTTCCATTTTCTTGTCGACAATTTGAATTGAGTTCAATTGCATGATCTTCATGAAGCAACCACTGTAAAATAACCTTTAGCTGCGGAATATCAGAACTTTTTTTCCTTTTTGAATCATTCCTCGATTAATAAATGGTGAATAATTCTGATTTCGTTTCTCTTCGAATCAACAGACATTTCAAGAATCTGATTAAATTAGAGAAAATATGTTATAAACGCTTTTCGCGCGAAAAAAAAACATCTCAAGGACGTTCAATAAATTTGATCGTTTCTCGATCAGCATTTCGAATTATGCAAAGTCAACCGGATCTCAAAGTGGTTCAAAATGATGCAACCGGAATCAATTCGATAAAAAATAGGAAAATCAGAAAATGTCTGTATCTTATTTACAGGAAACATCAGCATGCTTCATTTATTCACAAATTTTTTTCTTTGCGGCAAAATGACTAGAAAGCCAAAAATAATTTCAATTCGCCTTTTGTATCGGACTTGGAATGCACAAAGCTGAACGCAATAGTCAAATAAATTACAGCTCGAAAATTCAGACCAATTAACATTTGATGGGAAATTACTTGCAATATTGCGGAATGCAGCATTCATCTAAAATTGTCGCAGGTTCAAAANCGGACTTGGAATGCACAAAGCTGAACGCAATAGTCAAATAAATTACAGCTCGAAAATTCAGACCAATTAACATTTGATGGGAAATTACTTGCAATATTGCGGAATGCAGCATTCATCTAAAATTGTCTCAGGTTCAAAAAATTTTAATCAAAAGATTCGTGGTTTTGATCAATGACTGGCCGTAACGACAGCTTCGTGACCAGCTTCTTGAATTCCGTGTGGGTACATGCCCTGTAATGAAAAGAAATTCTCAATGACATTACCTCAAGACTTCAATCAGGAAATAAATTTCAAGTTACGCTCAAGTTCTCTTGATTTCCAAATTTGATTACATAAATGGAAAGGAAACTCACTGCCCACTCCTTTTGCATGAGAAGAATCGTGGTGTTGTGCAGAATTGGACCAAACAGAGGGTTCATCTGGTGCATGTAAGTCGTTGCCCACCTGAAGAAATTAAAAATTCAATTAAAACGGAAATGATTTACGTAATCAATGCTGGAAACAAACTCAATTTTTCGACAGATTTTCTACTTATACCAAGACTTGGGTTTTCTCCTGTTTCATTTTGATCAAATAATGAACCATACTCACAGTAATCCGATGCAGAAGCCGGATATAACCAATGCAACCTGGTATGTTCTGTAATGATTTTTATAGAAAAATAGTTAAATCAATATGAAAATAGCCGATCTTTTCCCGTCAACGCAAAATAAACACATATAACAAGCCTCACCCTCGGTTTGGCCCCTTTCGCACAAGCAGTGGCAAAAGCAGCACAATTAGTCCGGAAAGTACGGACATTGTGATGATAGGTTCAATACCAAACCCCATTTGACACTTTCTCACGTACTGGAACGAGATGAAAATATTTTTTGTCAATTTCAGTAGCAAAATTCGTCACCCGGGAGATGAAACAAGGGCAGTTTTGAAGAACTTGAATGTCAATGTAAATGGGACCCCGACATGCGGACAATTCGACCAAGGGATGGTTACGAGGAGAATAAAATCTGCCCCAACATCCAAAAAGTCACTTGAAATATGAACACTGTTTCCATATTTCCTAGAAAAATTCGAAATTTTCAATTTTCTAAATGTTGATGTCTCTATAGAAAAAATTGAGCTATTCACACAAATATTAAAAATATTTGTGTACAAATATTAAGAATAAAGTTCATTATAAAATGAATCCAATTTAAAATCAAAAATAGACTTTTTTCCAGAGATTTCTCATATTGTGTGCACAGGATATGTACAGGCGATGCTATTCAATTCATTTGTAATCCATTGCTGGGTAAGGGTTAAATTTTTTATTGATAAAATTGCTAGACAATGTCAAATTCAATGTTTTCTGCATCAAAGGTGACATTTTGAGTCTATCTCTGTAGGTTGAATTGAGGGGCAATAGGTCAAATTGCAAGTTGACATCCCAGCAAATTTGACTGTCAAATTGGGGGATAGCCAAATTGCAGGACATCAAATTGCATGGTATCACCTGTAGCTATCCTTGTTTTGTTCTTTGCTTCTCAAGCTCCTTGTAATGCCAAAAGAGCAGATTTTTTTACCACTATTTTCTGTATAGCTTGGAATTTAAGGAAAAATTTATTCAACTTTTAGGGAACTTCATTTCTAACTTCTGGTGAATGGGAGAACCAATTAAACATGTTCTGATCAAAGTCAATGGGAAAACGTGATCCAACAGGAAAACTTTCCAACAGAGCAACGAAGTCCAAGCCCCAGTTATGTCCTCATCTCGGGGGTCCCACTGTAAATTGAACACTCCATAAAATTCACATTTTCTGCGGAAGAAAAGTCGCTTGATTCAGTATAGTCAGCAAGGCGGGTGTTTTCAAAATAAAGGATTCCATGTCAAATTGAGCATAATTACATACACCATAAAAATGCAACCGAGATCATAAGCTGTACATATATAGCTCAACATCACAGCACTGCTATCTCAAGTAACCAAACACCATCACCAAGTCAAACACAATAACACAACTCCCAGCAGCCATTCTCGCCTTCCCTCATCCGGGCTCCATGTGCACCGACTGACTAAAGGAAAATAATTCTGTACAGTACAGTATAATAATGAATCCTGTTCTTTGCCATGGATGCTTGTCTCGTGGGGCAGAGCTGGTCTCTCGCACATCACCTGACATGCATCTTGTTTGCATCTCCAATCAGGTCTGGGCACAGCATCTCTTTTGACATTTTTGTCTTTCCTATTCATCCGCATTGAATACTTCAATTCTGTCCACTGTCTCTCATCATTCTCATCATTATTCTGTGCTGTGACGACGAAGGGCGACGCAAACTTGGGAGGATGAGGAATGAAAGAATTCCACCCGCGCCGGCGACTTTCTGAAGAACCCACAACTATGCGTCTGTCTTTGTATCTCCTTGTTGTTCTCTCCTCTCCTGTTATGAGGCTGTGCCTTGAGCTCTTGAGTGAGGGCAGAAAGTTTGTTCTGATCCATAAATAATGATTAACCCTTGAACCGTGGAGGGTTCTTTCCCATTGCCAGCCAAAATCAGATCATTTTTGTATGCTGGGGTGTTTTCAGTTTTCTGAAGGTCAGAAAAGTCCTTCCAGGTGGGCTGAGGCAAAGTCTGGATTAATCCCAGAAAAGCCTGTTGCTTAACATAGCATTTTTTGAATTTTCCTGCAAAATTTTTTGGTGCAAAAAAAAAACATTGCAGTTTTTCCTGACTTTGTTCTCAGCTCCCTGTTGTCATTTTTCTTTTTTTTCCTGAGGTGAAACAAAATTTTGCAAAAATAGTCCAACTTTGCTGCCCAAGGATTAATTCAACCACATTGCCACTTTTACTGAGTAAATACAGTATATAGTTCATGCTCTTTTGATGAACTGAAAGGCGCATTCTAGTACAGGTGATACCTTGCAATTTGACCTCCTGCAATTAGACAGTCACATTTGCAGGGAGGTTGACTTGCAATTGAACCCTTGCCCTACAATTCAACCTGCTTTGGCCACCTTTTTGCGTTTTAAAAACTTAGATTATTAAATTTTATGGAGTGTCTTGCAATTTGACCGATTCACAATTCAGCCCTAGTTTGGCAATGGATTAGGGTTGAATTTCAAGGTAACATGTGTACTGCTTTAGTTTTTCTAGTGTAAACAGTGTTCTAGATTTTGTACATAATACAAACCCATGGAAAAACCTCTTTGACAGTCAAATTTGCAAACTTTTGATGGACAATTTGGTGGTCAAATTCGTATGGAGGCTGATGTAATTCAACCCTTGCCCCATAATTCAACCTGCTTTGGCCACTTTTTGTGTTTTTTACTCATACTTTTAAATTTCATGGAGTGTCTTGCAATTTGATCTATTCACAATTCAAGCCTAGTTTGGCAATGGATTAGGGTCAAATTGCAAGGTACCACATGTACTGCTTTAATTAAAAAAAATGAATATAGAATGTTCTAGACTTTGTACATAATTCAAACCTGTGGAACAAAACAGGGACATTTGAGGCCTTTTCACTTCCAACCCTCAGATTAATAAGCATGTGGAATGAAGTCAATGAGGAAACCTGCTGTTGATCCAGTCTGTTTATCTCTGCCTTCCATCGCCAATAGAACCAATTAATGGCTCAGGTCCGTCGTTTGCAGTCAGACGAACGAAAGTAAGAACAAAACTAATTAAAAGAAAAAGACTCATATCGAAAGAACGGTTCGCTTTGTTTTATGTCATAGTCACGACGACATCTTTCAAAAAGCTTTTTTTTTTTGCAAATTTATTTTCCCAACGGAGTAGATGAGTGGATATGCCTGATGCGAAGTGGAAGACACCAAAGCATGAGATGAAACAAGTTGAAGCTGAAACGCGCAAAGCAAAACAGAAATAATTCGCCGAAACGTTTCGGTGTTTCAATCATTCAGTGACAATAAATATCAATTTCGCTCCTCCACCTTCTCTTCTTTTTTTTTGCTTTCCTTGTCTAAGCATACTGAAAGCCCCTCGAGGAAGTGTATTTTCTATTTCAAGAAAAATATGTTGGGGTGATTCATGCCCACCTGGACTGCCAAAAAAACATAATACTTCGGGAGGGTATGAACACTCAATTTTTGAATTTGTGTCAGAGGAAATTCAAAAATGGCATACGTGGGAAAATTTATTTACAAGAATATTGAAATCTGAGCAAAGTGGCACGCGTTTCACCATTTTTAAATTGAATGGAGGATTTATTGTAACTGAGGATGCCCATGAAATGTGAGAAGAACTGATCGAATTTTCAAAAAGAAGGATCTGAAATTTTTGAAATTATTTAGACAAGGAAGAAATAGAGTTCTAAGTTGTGTACTTCATAATTTCCCCAAAAAATCTCGTTGAGGTTCATCCTGAAATAAAAAGGAAAAACCATTTTTCCCAGGCACGACAAACTCGTCATTTTTTTTGTGATGTTACTAAAATGTCGGCAATTCTCTTTTCAAAATGCCATGTTATCTTGACCCGAGTTTAATAATTATTCAATATTGTCTTCTACAAAAAATGTGCATCTTTCAAAAATCCATATAATGATAAATTTTTCCTGAATAAAATTTCGCCCAAAAATAAGAACCACCATTTCTACAAGAAAAATGGGTTACGCAAATAATAGTACTGAAGTGGCCTTTAAACCGTACTCATTCAAATTTAAGTCAATGCAAAAATGTGAACGTTGTATTTTTCTGTGTATTTTTTTCGGAGTTCTCTTCTTTTACTGTTTTAATAATTTGAAGTAAAACACAAATTGGATCTGAGAATTTCATGCAGGAAACAATTACCATTTAGGAACGCATGGATTTATAAGTATTAAAGAACGCTTTCCATTCATCAAATAACGACAAAACTGGATGAATAATTTAATTCGTTGTATGAGGCCCCAGTGTACGAGTATGTTCCAGATTTTTTTCCTTCAAAAATATCACATTTTTTTGTCCAGGCCAGAAACCGCGTGAATCACCCTTCTTTTCCAGAAGAAGAAAGTTCCAAGCATTCTTTTCGTCGATGAATTTCAACCGTGACTACACACAGTAACGTAACCGTCAAACGTAAATCTGAGTGTCAAAGTCCAGTCTCTTTCCCGAGCTGTCAATCGAGTCACGGCTTCTCAAAAAAAAAAAAAGATGAAAAAACCCACGGAGAAGGAAAAAGGCTCAGGCCTTTTTCTAGATGACATACTCCATGACCCGCGGAGAAAATTGTTTAGAAAAAATCTTCAATTCCGCGATATGCGTCTGTTGCTCTTCCGAGACGTGCTTTCAGTCAGACCTCATCGTGGGAAGATGAAAGAGAAAAAAAAATTCCGCGCTCTGAATGAAATATTGTCACCCAAAAACACGTGCAAAAAATGAAAAATGAAGAATCCTGGTGACGGATTCAGAAGCGAAGAAATATCAATTCGACGGCTCACGGGTTTATATATATTCAACGGGGGAATAAAGAGACAGCAAATAAAAACAAGAACGCAAAAACGAAAGAAATCAGCCGGCAGAAATTTTGCGCATAGGTTGTGAGAGTATCTTCGTATAATGCCCCTCTTATTCTCACCTCCACTGAAAAGTGCTGGCACGTGTACTGCAAAAGTTTCGTCTCTCGAATTTTGCAAAACATTTCTTGACCGAATCATCATCAGCACTTGTGCAAAGATGAAATGTTGAAAAAAGAACATTAATGTTTCATCTTATGATTCCTCTTCCAAGCGTTAATGTGTGTCAAAACGGCTATCCCCGTTTTGTTTTTCAACTTCACATTAGTTCCGTATGCTGTACATGATTATTGAAATTTTGAAAGAAAGATTTTTCAAAATGTTATTCAAGCTTTTTTTTTTGCTTAGAGGAAATATTGCGGCAAATTTCTTCACGGCCTCTCAAAGAAACTTTTGCAAAATATATTACGAACAAATTTGTAAGTGGATTCGTGGTATACGTGATGACAATAGATATTTAATATTTGTGAAAGCTTGCAGAAGAGGAAGGATGATTTAAAAAATTAGCCCGATCCCGAGAACGAAAAACGGAAATGAGAAATTCGTCCATTTTGCGCATGATGCATCAATTTTTCGAGTACAGTACTTCGCTCTATTAATAATTTCAACGATAGTTCTTTCTGTGAGAAATATCATAACCTTACAGAAATCATCCTTAAGTTTTGAGGAGGCGCGTGAGGTGAAAAGCTTTTTATTTCAGATCAAAAGCTCTGGTTTAAGGTGCAAATTCATCAAGCGTAAAAATTACTGGCGTATAATAAGACTGACTCATTCGATTAAATTATCAATACATCAATCATTATAAAAAAGATGAGCTGAAGGGAACAAAAAAGCCAGCATAATCTTTTCTTTCAAAACAAAAAACAAAGGAGAACACATGGAACAATGACGATGATGAGCCCTTTTTTTCAACCACAATTTTTCGAAATGGGAATCTCGGTTTTGCTGGTGAATCCCTCAGCAGCACTGCTGCTGTTGCTGGTTCCAAGAATCGCTAGCAAAGACGACTCCTTATTGAAGGCTTTGTCATCAGTGAGTGAGCTGTTGGGATTAATTTCCGCAGAGAAATTCGCCTGCTTCAGGCAATCCTGATTGAAAGAGGGAACTACTTTCCCTGCGGGCGACTGCTGCTGCTGATGTCCGTTGATGTGCAGGCCTTCTTCGTTATTATTCCCGGGATCCTGATCGAAAACAGACGCCAAACGCAAGAACATGTACGTGTACTGTACTAACTATATCATAATTCATTTTATACATTAAAAGCTCATTACAACAAACAAGTGGAGCATTTAGGAAACGTTTGTTATACAGAATAATTTGTTAAAATGAGATTTTGAAAATTATTGAGTGATAAGAATATTTTCTTAAAATTAGGCCTGCATACATTCAATATCTTCATTTTGTGGTATTTTCAGATGTTTTTCAGTGTTGAAAAAACTGGGATCTTCAAAAAGAGATTTAATTGTGGATGAAAAACATTCTGAATAAGAGGTAAACACTAGCACTTTTCTTGGCTCTGAAATTTTTCTGAGTAACTCCTATATAAAGATTCATAAGGGTGGATGTTCATAAATTGCTTACAATTTTTACATCACTATAGAGGGGTTTTCAAGCATACAAACTCCTTTAAACATGAGTTTTGCTGGGTTCATTTTTTCCATATATAACTGCCCCCTCCCCACCATCATTTCTAACCTATAGGAACAATTTTTGAAAGAGAGGGTGTTCAGGTGAATTTGTAAAACTTTTTGTCATTGAATCCAACTTACGTTCCAAGAACCAGTCACTGTCACATTTAGAATGGGAAATGTGAGACTGCGCATGCCTTTATCATAGGGACTTCTCATTAGGAAATCATAACATATGTTCCTTAAAAAAGTTTGTTGTATACTGAAATTGGCAAGTTTGTTGTAAGGCGAGTTTTATTGCATCTACCCTATAAGACTTTTACTGGGAATTGGAAAAAAATTTGTTACAGTGAAAATTTTGTTGCAACTGTAATGAGATTTTACTTTACGTTATTTCAATACACCATGCTAGAAGCACATTCAGTTGCATTTATTTCGAAGCTCAAGAGTTGAATTTTTTCTTCGGCAGATAATTTCAATTATCCCCGTGATACAATAATCTTGATTTTTTGTATTATATGCTCGAGAATATAAAACAGAGACGAGTAAAATGAATGTTTTTTTTTTAATGGGGACTGTCACGAATGTCACATGAAGTGCAAACGTTTTCATGGCTGTAACCCAAGCCAGAGGTCACAAAAAAGTATGTTCAATCTTGGCAGAAGCAAAATTCAGTCGCATGCGATAGGTACAGGGTATCACCGATAAAAGAAGAATTTTCAAAGAATTCTACAGTCGAATAGGTCGAGAAAATGGCGATTTACGAGGAATAGGTCAGAAAAAGGCAAAACTTGGATGACTTGTTCCAATTTCGTCGATCACAGACTGAATATAATTTAATTCAACTTTTTCCCATCTTCAAAAGCAAAATTTGATTTCCACGAGGTCGGGAAGGTGTCGCCAGTACAATTTCATTAGGTGAAACTAAAAACAAATGGACGAACAATTCCTCCTCTGAATGACATTTCAAGCCGAAATAAAACGTTATCAAACAGACAGTAAATGATTAAATGAGCAGCCAAATAAATCAGACATAGTGTATCCAATCATCATCCAAACTATTCAGACCGAAATTTACGCGGCTTCAACGGATCCAATCCCAGGGATCCAAATAATAGCGCCACAGCAGTTATTTAAAAAAAATGTTATTGCTCTGTCAGGCTCAGTATATAAGGAAATTTGTTTTATACCGGTGCAGGAATTTCCACTTCTGTTTTGCCGACTGCTGTTCCTTCGACGACAGAAACGGAATGCACAGATTGCACGTGTTGCATGAGCAGCAGTGGTTCTTTGAACGCCTCTTTGCAATGAGCGCACGTGAGCTCTGCCGCAGTTCCACTCATGGCTGCGGCCTCCTTCGGTTCAGGATCTGTCACGACACCATCTGCTATTGTTCATAATACAGTACATGGAATATTGTTCTCAATCATGCGTATTGTGTCTTTTTCTTTTTAACCCTCGGACGGCGGAAGGGTCCTTTCCATCGCGGGACGGAGTCGGACTTTTTTCGTGTGCTCCCCCGTTTTCTAATTTCTGAAGGTCAGAAAAGTGCCCCCAGGTCGGGTGAGGCGAAATCAGGGTTTATCCGTAAAAAGGCAGTTGCTGCTATTTTCCGAAGTTGGACTTTTTCCAACTTTCACAGTTCTGACCTTGTCTCATCCTCCCTCAGCTTGAAGCCTCAATATTTTTACTTTTAAATGTTTTTGGATTTGCTGGGAGCTTTTCATGAGATTTCCAGGCCAAACAGTGTGAAAAATTACAATGATTTGTTCCACTTCAGCTTATTCCCCAGAGCTAATTTTTCCCAGGCTTTCTNGCTGGGAGCTTTTCATGAGATTTCCAGGCCAAACAGTGTGAAAAATTACAATGATTTGTTCCACTTCAGCTTATTCCCCAGAGCTAATTTTTCCCAGGCTTTCTAAGCCTTCTTCAGAATGTTTCTCGAGGTTCTTCTTCCAAACATTCTTTTTCAATGAAAGTAGGGATTTGTGGAACACAGAAGGTGGAGAAAATTAAGAGGATTTTGGATGAGCTGTGGAATTTTTATTCTGAATTATCCATTTCTGCCTGGCTTGATGCACCTCATGTGATTTCTTTTGGTAAGGATCTTCAGGTCTGAGAAGCACAGCAGCAGGGGAATGAAAAAAAAATTGAAGGAGCATTTTTTTTCATTTTCAGGCAAATTTTTCTGCGCAAGTAGAAAAAAATGCCAGGATTTTTCCTGACTTCGCCCTTCTCACACTGTCTTCATTTTTTTCATCTTCCACCTGGGGTGCAAGCAAATTTTGCAAAAAAAAGTCCGACTTAGCCGCCCAAGGGTTAAAACAAAATTGATAACAACATTCCCTCCAAATAAAAAAATTTGCCTTATAATACAGCGTTCCCCAAGCTTTGTGGGCCCACAGACCGGCGAATTTCCATACATGTTTTTCACAGACCAGCAAATTTCCAAAAAAATTTCTGCGGACCAGCAGTAAAGTTTCATAAATTTTTTGCAGACTTGAATAGTTTTTCCTTAAAAAACTTCATGATTATAATGTGATTATTTTCTTCTGCGAGGAACTAAGTTGTTTTTGGGCTGAAAATTTTAATGTATTCTGCTGTGGAACTTCATTTTTCGGTTGATTTGTTTTTCATGTAGCCGGATAAGAGCTCTGGTACAGAAAAATTGGATTTAAATTCTATAAAAATGAAAATTTTCATACTTATCTCGCCATATATCATTTCTTTCCAGCATTGACGGAGAACTTTTCCCTGAAGAACGTTGTGATGATCTTTTGACTGCACATCTATTCTAACCGAACGATTCGAAGTCCAAAATACTGTA